ACCAAGAGGCATTCCACCATCCCACTCCCACTCGCTGCTTGGCCCGAAGTGCGGTGAAATCAGTCCTCCCTACCCAGACAGAGCACAGGACAATAGCTGAAGTACAGCCTTCTTCTCTGTAAATGTCAGCACTGGAATTTCAAACCTCTGAGAGCTTAGAAAAGACATTTGGCAAATGTTTATTTTCTTTGAATCCACATTCTCTCCCTGCTCTGCCTCAGAGATGTGTCTCTGCTGTTCAGATTCCAAAGATGCATCTTTGCTCATTACACAGTGCAAACCTTACTGTGGGCACTATTGGTGAAGTCACATTGCTAGTCAAGCACAAGTTAAAATACCCTTTTTTTTCCCCCCAGTATACACACAGAAAACCATTAAGTGCTTCAACACATTTTTGCAGTTAAAGCCAACAAAGCCTCTGTCAGGAGAAGGGGGTCCTGCTGAAATTGGTACTGGGACACGCTGTTGGGATTGGAACTGGTAGATGTGCAACGTAAGAAATAGCAAAAGGAAATATTTAGAATCAAGAGATGCCAAAACTGCAATCAGCAAATGAAAGGCTAAAACTGATGAGTAGATCTGGATGCTTTCTCTATTATTTATTTTTATTATTTAAGCTGTGCTATGCAACCCCTTTGTTACAAGAAATGCTCGGTAACCACTCACTGCAGTGTGTGGTGCAGCTTTCCACCACATCAGCTTGGAAAACCCAGGGTTTTACATCGAATGGGATTGCTGTGACATCAGTTACATGCCAGAGAATAGAATTATGGTGTTTGTGGAAATGGAAATTCACCACCAAGAACGTTTGCCTCAAAACTGATGAGCACTAAAAGCGCCCAAAGGAAAGACGGCGACGAACGTGAGAATAAAGTGACTGTACAGAGCTGCAAGAGTTTGTGGATTTCCCCAAATGACCAAACCCACTACTGACAGCAAGGTAATGCTGCCAGGGCAGGGCCTGCAGAGCCAGAGTGACAGCAGGGTCAAGGTGTGCGTGGGCAGTGCTGCAGGTGGCTGCCAGGGAGAGCTCAGGGATGTCATTGCCAAACTCACACACACGCATCAGCAAAAGCCACTGAAAGCAATGTGTCACTTGCTGCCAGGAAAGCAGGAAGACAACAGGTGAAAGCCTGAGAAGCAGAACAGGCAGGACACATCTAGCTCTCTGAAGGACCCCAGGCAGTCGGATGTGTTGACGGCATGAAATGTTTCTATTTAGGAACAGAAAACACAAAAGAACTGCTTCATAAATTACTCTGTTTTGGAGGAAGAGCGAACAGACTTGAAGGACAGGTGATGTCTCTGAAATATGTAAATGGCACTGAGCTGGTCCAAGCAATTACCTTTTCATTGCCTGGAACTTCAGACTAAAAGGAATGACTCACAAGAAAGAACAAGAAACAAAAGATGTGCTAAAAGGTAGAAGATGACGAAGGTAGATGGCATCGAGAGGAGAATAGAGACAAGCATGGAAGAGTTGAGTCCTGGCCTCTGAATAGCTGCTCTTGGGAAAAAGAGCAAAGCAACCTACAGCATGGCACACCAGAAGACCATGCCAACGTGGGGGAGCTAGCTGCAAAAGCATCCAGAAAGGCAACTGTGATGACTAGTTCTAGACTTGTGAGTTCAAGAGAAATATAGCAGCTCTGTGTAAGTAAAGATCACGGATTTCACCTACTTTACTGTATTTGCTATTTTAAAGCTTTCCTAGCAAAGAGAATTGCTGAAAATAATGCAGTCTGATTATTTATTGCTGTTAAAGAAAACTCCAGGCGTGAATGTATCAGACAGCCTGATAGTGGGAAGGCTGAAGGCAAAACTAAAATGCACTGGAAACATCCACGGAGATGAGCCAACAGCTGTGCAACTGAAATGAAAAGCAGCATCTGGGCCTCACAGAGCAAGATATAGCTGTGGCTGCCATATCTCCACATGCAGTCCTCTCCTAATCATCTGCAGGTACTCCAAGCTCTGGGTAGGAAGGGAAAGGAGAAAGTCAGATTTTGGTTATTGGTGGTATTTTCAGTGCTCTGCACACAAATTCGGGATGCTCTTTCTGCATCAGCATGCATTCACTTCATTTTTTTCCATCAAAACCAAAGAAAGATTACTAAATTATAGCAATTACAGTCTGATGCTGAAAATGTACTAATACAGAACCTGCAAGGTCAATGTGAAAGAATGAATCAAGGAAAGGATCAAGAAAAGTGAACAGAGACATGGATCTATAGAGGCTGCATAAGAAATATTGTGTACATTTAGTGCCACTCTTTTCATTAAGAAAAATACTGACAGCCCAAAGGCTGCAGAACAGCAATAAATATAAATCTGTTGGGGGGTGTGTGTGTGGAAATTAAGAAAAGTTTCCAAGTTTTAAATTTTGTGTACTTAGTGCTAAAAGATTAAGACATTATATATACCCTTTGGGAATATAGGAAATAGGGGAGAGAGGGGACTGAAATAACACAAGAAATTTGTAAACCATATAATGAGATATGCAGCATCCCTGTACTCTGATTACTATTTATGACCCTCTAACAGAAACGCTAAGTCACAGCCTGAAGCAGTAATTGAGCACCTGGTGGGAAGGCAGGGCCAACCTGGGGAGCTCAGGTGTGTGCAATGAACCTGAGTGACCAGAAGGGGTGGAGCCAGGATCCATTCCTTTCCAGTCCTCATTTAAGGGTTGGCAGTGGAGGTGAGGGCACCTCTTGCTGGAGTTCTATGTGTATGTGAGCTCTTCTGAAGGTAAGCAGCTTTCTTCATTCACTTTTGGGTCTGCTGCGTTTGGGTTCATTCACTTTTGCTGTAGCCAAAGACTTTTCCACCCTACTGTTGCTGTGGTATTTTCCACCACATTACAGTTTCATGGTAATTTGGGAGCTCAACTTTTTGCATTTGAACCAAGCTCTATATACCATTTTATTCAAGTAATGGGAGCATTTTATTTGTAATCTACTGAGCACAAGAAAAACTGAAGAGAGCCCAGCAGGTAAGCATGTAAAGAAGACAATGATAGCGATGAAGAACTTTGTGATGTTCTCACAGATCTTTCTTATAAATCCAATTTGAAGTTGGAAGAGTAAAACAGCTATTATCCTACCACCATGCCCTGATCACAACTCCATCATTTGGAAGAACAGAGCTCCCTCTTGTGGATCCTGAATGTGGATGTGGCAGGAAAAAACAGTGGGAGACTGAAGGATGAGAGGACTCCTCGTGGGATTTTAGCTGTACAAAAATGGAATTTAAATGCAAACACAGTAGGGAGGAAAGGTGAATTCTCTTAAAGAAAGTACTGTTGCCTGTACTTGAATGCTGATTCTGAAATCGCATTCTCTGATCTTCTAACTTCCTCTGTTAGCTCTTACTGCAGCCAAGCAGACTACTTCCATGGAAAGCTCTCAGACCTCTTAACAGGTTTCTAGCTCAGTCACAGGTGAGGGGTAAGGAAAACAGAATAAGGACTACAGTGGTGAAGGCACAGTGGCACGCGCTGGAGCTGTATGAATAAGAAAACCAGTGGTGTCAGGAAGCCAAGAAATACACACCTGATTATGAGAGCAAGAGGCTTATGTACTGAAATGCTGCAACAACAAGCATTTGAAGAGAGAAAAAAAATGCTTCTTAAAACTATCAGGAAGCCTTAGCCCTGCCATTAGCAGAGAAGCTTCTGCTCAAGCCCTAGCACTGCTCTTTTCTCCTGCAAACTTCCTGCATCAACTACTTAAAACCACAGGAGGATGGAGCCACACACCAGTGAGCAAATTCCTGTGCAATAGCACTACTCTGCACTGCATGGATTCTGCTGAGTCCTGTGCATAGGGGTGTGTGAAAGAAGAGCTCTCACCTCCATTCATTCCCCTCTTGAAGGGAGGAGCATCACTGCAGACAGCCCCTTGTTTGCTGGATGAGTTCTTAAAAAGGATTTGAAGACCACCAGGTTATTCCAGTTCTCCTAGCAGAGAGCTTTGTAACCCAAAGGGATACCTATGAAAAAGAGTAGCCCTCTGAAGCAAGGAGGGGAAGCATACCCAAAGCAGAAATTGTCACAGCACTCTTAATGAACCCCAGCTCTGCCTGGTTGTCTCTAAATTACCTCTCTGCTGCAAAAGCAGGATCAAATCCATGGAACAAGAACTGGCAAAGAAGCAGCAATCACTCTTATGAGTCCAGAACAGCACCAGAATATAAGAGGGAATCAAGACCTTGATTCATAGGCTGGTGCTCACACAAGATCCTGCTTCCAGAGTGCAGGACAAAAAAAGAATCAATTTCCTACCGTGAAAAGAAATTACCATGCTGTCAGCATTTTGCTATTAGTGAAACATCTTCCTTCTATCTCCAGTTAAAAGCAATATTTTTCTAAAGAGCAATCCTCTTAAAAAAAAAAAAAATTGTATAGAAATCAGTCTATAAACAGGAAGATATCCTTAAATGCTCAATCAAGTAATAAACCTAGCAGATGAAAGGCAGACTAATTAAAATAACAGTACAATCTCCCTTTAACAAACGCATACAGGACTCAAAAATATGCTTGTTGGAGTACCTAATCATAATCAGATTTGGTAATTTGCTGTATCAAAACAAAAAGGAAACATTTTCAGAATTGATCATTCAGTTCATGTTACTTTTATGGAGATTACTTTCTATTGATCAACATTTAAATAGTAGTTGAAAAGAGAAAGATGAGAAAAGGGTAAGAAGTATCTTTACATGCTAAATACAGCATGAACCGATAAAAGCAGAATAAATTAGATCACTATAGCCAAATCAACCCTGCACATGTGCTCACTGTAATGAAGGTAATTACAAATGGAAAAAGATGGCTCTTCATGCTTCGGCCTTAACAAAAGGGGAGTTCTAAAATGAAGTTAGAGCTTAATCTGCTCAGAATGAAGTTTCCTATGCAGCAATTAAGTTCTGCATGAAGCTGAACCACTGTTGGCTTCTGAAGGGCACAAATGCTGGTTTGTTTTCTGAACAGCACTTCCTACCTGTGGATTCCAGTTGGGGTCCAGTTTTTTCACTGTATCAACGTACTCCTGCATAGCCTGATGAGGACTGGTGTCTCCCAGGGCTTTCCAAGCTTCCCTAGGGCAGAGAGCAATGTATCAGTGAGCCTCCCTCAGACAGCACAGCGTGTTCTTATGGTGTCATCAGTGAACAAACTAAGCAGATCCATCTACATGTTTTCAAGGGTTGTAAAGCCACCTCCCATTCAGTTTGAAGTGGTCAACTTCTCAGTGAAGCCATGAACAGCTAGTGCAGGTGCAGCACTTTGCTGGGAAAGCATCTTTCAGGGGGTCTAGATCTAGGTTGGAACATGTTTTGTGTTCTAACATAGATTCAGCTATCTTGGCTGTTTCTACAATGTTCACCCTGGAGAAAAGAAGGCTGCAGGGTAACCTCACTGCAGCCTTTCAGTACTTAAAGGGAGCCTACAAACAAGAGGGGAGTCAACACGTTGAAAGGGTAGATAACAGCAGGACAAGGGGAAATGGTTTGAAGTTGAGGGAGAGGAGATTTAGGTTGGATGTCAGAGGGAAGTTGTTTGCTGTGAGAGTGGTGAGGTGCTGGAACAGCTGCCCAGAGAGGCTGTGGATGCCCCGTCCATCCCTGGAGGTGTTCAAGGCCAGGTTGGATGGGGCCCTGGGCAGCCTGGGCTGGTATGAAATGTGGAGGTTGGTGGCCCTGCATGTGGCAGGGGATTTGTGATCCTTGAGGTCCCTTCCAACCCTGGTCATTCTGTGATTCTCATGGTATGCAGGCCAATTCTGGATGCAGAAAGTAAAGACAGGCTGTGTTTTCACGACCACATGAGGCAGAGTTAGCTGTAAGCTGTTCAGGTTGAAAATTCTGACTTGACCATGTCTGCTGCATTGCAGGCCTGCAATACCAGTAAGACCAGTATCCCTCTTCTTGCTCAGGAAAAGCTATGTTTTTGTGAAGACACTCCTATATTAAGCAAAAGCCATTCAGTGGCAGGCTCTTACATTTGACATTCTCAAAGTGAAGTCTGTAGCACAACACAGAGCAGAACCAGAAGTCTCTAGGAGTTACGATGATTTCCTCTTACCATTTCTGCTTCCCCTCAAAATCAAAGAAACTTGGCTTTGGAGTGTTACAGGTTCCAAATTTCACCTAAAAAAATAAAAATTCTTTATGTTAGAACAAATCAAATGGAACTCCTGAATGGTCTGAGAGGCAGCCATCCAGCTGCATGGGAAGCACCAGCTGCCAGTGAGCTGAGGCCCGAGCAGAAGTGCCTGAGATGAAGCAGTGTGATGGAAGGAAGCCATCTGTGGCAGTACCAAGGCAGGGTTAGCAGACAGGCATTGCTGCAGGACACAGTGTGGTCTTGTACACAGCTTTTGTGGCTCAACTCTTGTTTAAAAACACCAGAACAGACATGGCACCCAAACTAATGCAGATGGACAAGAAATCTTTTATTCAGTGTGAAATGGACTTGGTGCCAGCAGGACTTCTGTGGCCAGCTTTCCATAGAAAGGCACCCCAACATGACAAGCACAAAGCCATTTCTGTCAGCACGGGGTGCAGCTCAATGATCTTTGAGGTCCCTTCCCAGCAAAGCCATCCTGTGATGCTCTGGTCTGGAGGAGGGCAGGGGCTGCTGGCAGAGCAATCTGTGAGCCAAGCAAAACCCAACTGCCTTCACCCTTCTTGTTTAGAAATGAAATATGCCCCAGTGCTCAGGCAGGTGAAGTGCTTAAATCAACCTCACCTTAGCAGGGTGGGGATTTTCTGCTGAGGAGAGAATCATTAATCAGGCTTTAAAGAGAGCGTGCCTACACTGAGAGATATTTATTAGTTACACTATGTTTTCATTTAAAGTGTGAGAGACTGTGACTGAAATTAATTTTCCGTGCATCTGACTGCCTGTGAGCGAGCAGTCCATCCAGATTAGGATCCCAGCTGGCCTGTAAAACAGTGCACTGCATTCCATGGAGGAAGAAGGGAAAGGACAAGCAGCAGTTAAGCCCTGTAAATCAATCACCATTCATTTGTACTGTCAGTGTTTTCTCCTGTGCTCAGATATGGTCTGGACCATTTGTTTTATACAACAAAACACGGAAATAAAATGCAAGCTCATCATGTGAGCAGAAAGTGCCTGCCTGGCAGTTCTTTGATTTGGTGTGCAAGCAGGCCAAGTCAGACAAAAAAAAAATCCCATCTTTTTTAATTGTTTGCTGCCATCATCAAAACAAGAGGGCAGTTTCTTCTCTCTAGATTTGGCATTCAAAGGCTATTCCAGCCCTGGAAAGATTGTTAATAGCATCAATAGTAATACAAATCAGGGAACAGTAGTTAAATTTCATCCATCAAAGGAGTAAAAAATAATAATAAAAAAAAAAATGCTCCTGTGCCCTGCTTGCTATTTTGAGATATATTAAAAAGGGTTGCAGTGGTTTTGCTGGAGAGAAGAAAATAACACTCTTGGCTTCCCTCGCTTTGCTGCAGGACTCCATAATGCGTCAAAAACCAAATGGGAATTCAGCATTGGAGGAGCCCGGATGCTGAGGATGGTGATTTTTACCTAAACATCAACATAAAAACTGGAAAAAAAAAAAAAGCGTGGTGTAGGACTCAGTCCTGTTGCTTTCAGAGGAAAGCTTCAAAAGCTGCTTTTTCTCCCCAGCTAGCAGAAAGATAAGAGCCTGTGTTAGTATTTGAGGGCAGAGTTCCTCATTCTGGATCCAGAAAATAATTACTGATGGTCTCCAGGGGCTGACTGGTCACTTGGTGCTTAGCTCTCCTCATTTACAGTTCATCAGCTGCATGAAAAGCAGTGTGCAGCCAGAATGTATTAAGTGCTTTCCTAGCATTGCTTCTCTGTGCAGCTGACGGCAGGCTCTGCTCCTAAACCACTGCGAAGCAGCTCTGAATGGGAACTGCCTGCATTTGTGGCCAGCGTGGCAATTCAGAAGCTCTGGGAGAAGCCTTCACCTGATGGCTGGAGGTGACAGCACTCAGAAGAGTGCCTGCATAGACAGATGCTCAGAGCTGTGCTCTGTTAAACCGGTTGTCAACGGGTCATAAGGCAATCTAAGGAAATATCACACAAGGATGCTAACCTGCGGACTGAGGGCAGCAGCTCCCTGCTTTGCTCACAGTCATGCTGCTAACTCTGGCTCAGTTCCATCCTCACCTTGCCACTACAGACTCAAGGCATGGATTGCACAAGTGATTTGCCCAGAGCCTTGTGGAAAGCAGGAGGAGAAGCAGCGCTCCAGCCCAGAGCCCTGCCATCCACTCTGATCTTCTTCCTGCACTGAGGCAGAGCCATAAACTCAGCACCATCAGCTGAAAAGCTCACTGGAGATGACAACTAAGCAATTCCCTCATTTTCGAGTCTCTGACACATAAACAAAATCAGAGAGAAAAGTAATAAAATCCTGAAATGGCCTCCAATAAAAGGTAATAAAATTCCAGGAAAACAGTTATATACCCAAACAGTTTGAAATAAATAATATACAGTATCTTAAGAGAGAGCTCAGCTGTTACTGTCACCCCTTTTATGATGGTGCTGTGTCTTAAATCAAAGCCCTCAGTGACACAAAATACTAAACTGAGGAAAGACAAGGATGCCAAATCAAGGGCAGCGGACAGATCTGAGTCAGCACCTTTTGTGTGCTAGCAATACTGCTGTCCACTGGAGTAATATATTAGCAGCCCATTATGCATACTGATACGGCTGCTCTAATTAAATAGAGAAAACTTGCACTAAGCACCATCGTTTTGATTTAAAGCACAAAATGCTGCAGAACTCCAAGCAAGCAGAGCCTATCCCTGAGGTAACTGTGCTAGCAAACTCCTCCTCTTCCCTGCCAGCACTGCCTGCTCCAGCACTGTGTTACAGACTTCCTGGACAAAGGCATGGAGACCCAAAGCAGGGGGCACACAGACACTGTTTGTGCATTCTGGGATAAGAGGAGATGGAAGATCTCTGGTTCCTCACCTGGAGGGGACTGGAGACCTGTGCTGACTGCAGTAGTTGCTGCCTTTTCTTAACTGGTATTACAACTTGTGAAACAGCTTCTGATTTTAGTAACTATAGCTCTTATAAAGCACTAGGAAACCCCTCTGGAGTCCGCTGACAGCCACTGGCTGAGGGCTAAGTAATGCCTCCCATCTGCCATCGAGGACAGCTACAAAGCACTTGTAGGCGGTGAGAAATAAGAGGTTATTTGAAACGAATCTGAGAATCCAGGTAAGCTGTAGCAGAGACAACCCTATTTCTTTTCATCTCCTTCTATGCAAGGCCTTAGTTCCTAGAAGTTCTCCTGGCACTTTCCCCACCCTTTCCTTTCTCTTACAAAGAATAAAGAGCCAGAGACCTGCTGAAGCACCAGAAGATCTGAAGACAAAGCTCCCACGTGATCAGCCTGGTCTGAGACAATTAATGGCCCACAAACTACAGCTAAGGAGCCACCAGCTCAGGGGATAATTCAATACTGCATCAAAAAGATGGAAATGCTTTTGAGTAGCAGCAGGCCAGGCCAGGGTATTCCACATGGAAGAAAAATGTAACTTGGATTGTCTGCAGAATCATAGAATGGTTTGGGTTGGAAGAAACCTCAAAGCTCATCAAACCCCAAACTCTGCCGTGGGCAGGGCTGCCAGCCACTGGATCAAGCTGCCCAGAGCCCCATCCAATAGCCTCGGGCACCTCCTGCTGAGCAAAACAGACAGAGTCCAGTTCCACAGTCGCTTTTCAAGTCAATGCAAACTGAGGAGCCGGCAGTGCCGCCCAGAGCAGTGTGTGCCCCGTCCCTCAGGTGCCCCATGCCGTGGATGGGCCCTGGGCAGCCCGAACTGCTGGGGGGCAGCCAACCCACGGCAGGAACCAGCTGGGGGAGCTTGGGGGTCCCTGCGGGCTGGGAATGCTCCACAAGTGACCCAAGCACGTGGCAGAAACAAACCGGCTCAGCCTCCCGGCCCTTCCCCCTTTTCCTCCCATCCCCTCCCCCCCGTAGGCGCCAGGCCTCTCCCTCGGCCCAGTCGCAAGGCCTCGCGCCTCACCTGCTTGTAGCGAGCGTACAGGTACAGCAACTGTTCCTTGCTGGCGCTGGGCAGCAGGGCGGGCAGCCGTTCGGCCGCCTGCTCGAACAAGGTGGACAGCTGTCGATCGGACGGATCCGGCCCCGCCGAGCCCGAGCTCCCCTCGCCGCCGCTCCCAGCCGCCAGCGGGGGCGACGCCATGGCGCCGGTCCGCGCGCACAGCCGTCCCCCTGCGCGCCTCGGTACGGTTCCGCGCCGCCCGGCGGGAAACGCGCGCTGCGCCCGAGAGTTCCGGGGTACGCGCGGTCCTACTCTCATCCGGTAGGGAATGGCCGCTGGGAGGCAGTGGCGGGCCGGCTGTGGGCCCAGGCTGCGCAGCCTCCTAGGGGTTGCTCCCTCCCGTCCTATCGCTGTTACCTGGGAGCAGAGGCTGACCCATCTCAGCACAGCCTCCTTTTAGGAGCTGTAGAGCAGCGAGGTCTCCCCTGAGCTCCTCCACACTGCCCCATGCTATCCCCTCAGCCACTCCCCATCACACCGTGCCCCACACCCCACACACGTCCGTGCCTTTCTTCAAACACACTCCAGAAGCTCGGTATCTGGTAGTTGATGTCAGTGTTCTCGAACTGTGCAACCCAAATGGGGATCTGAAGGAGAGCGAGCACATCCCTCATTTAGTTCGTTTTTTTTTTTCAAGATATCAACAGAAGATCAAGAGACCTCACAGCAAGAGCCAGCAGGCCTGGAGCCAGCCCCAAGCCCCTCTGCTGTGTGCTGACCCCAGCCACGAGGGGGTGGATAAGAGCTCAGCAGCTGCTGCTCAGGGTTTTCCCTATGAAAGGCTTTTTTCTTGCACTTTTCCTCTGAAGGCTCCTCCCCAGCAATCCCCCAGCATAATTTATATATATATTTTAAAGAAAAACGTGCTATTTATAAATGATTCTATACACTCCCAAGAAAGCAAGTGCCAGACTGTGCTGGCGGGAAGCCTACTGCAGACTTCTTGCTGCTCCAGTTAAGGAAGCAGATAATGCCCATTCTCGTGCCTTCTCCCAGCACCCAGCTGCAATAACAGCGAGGTGTTCCAAGCACGCTGCTGGGCACTATGTCAGGAGACTCTGTGGGGCAAATGGTTCGAGTGCACAGACCTAATGCTTGCAGTCCTGCAGCCCTTTTGTCCTGCACATTGCAGTTGGGGTGGACTGACACGTCATGGGCTGGGCTGGACTCACCGAATGTAATGTGCTAAGGACACGGCTGGGGTCAGGAAACACACCGGGAGGGAGGAACAAGACACCAGGACGTGAGGTTTTCAGTAAAATGCAGGTTATTAGAGAAGCAAGGCAGGTCATTTCTGGGCTCCTAACGACCTCACTGCTCTGCCGAGCCCAGCAGCGACAACGCAGCACCGTGCGGCGATGCTCACCACGCCCGAAGAGCTGCGGGACACACGCAGCCACCCCCCATTGGGGCCACGCCCCTATCTTTAAGCCACGGCCGCCTGAGACCACGCCCTGTCTTTAGGCCACGCCCCCGTTCCCGAGACCACGCCCCTCGGCGGCGGTGGGCGGTGGCGAATGTTGCCGTGGCGACGCGGCGCTGCCGGCGGCCGGTTGGCTGGCGGGCGGCTGACGGCGGGAGGCGGCGGCGGGCCGGGGAAGATGGCGGCGGCCGAAGAGGCGGCGGCGGCGGCGGCTGCGGGGCGGCGCTGAGGAGGCCCCGAGGCGGGCCGAGGATCGGCGGGGCCGGGCGGGCGGGGGCCCATGTGCGGCGGCGGAGGCCCCCCCCCCGCCCCGCAGTACCGGCGGCGGCCCGTTGGCAGGCAGGCGCCGCTAGGAGCGGCTCGGCGGCAGGATGAAGTTCGCCGAGCACCTCGCGGCGCACATCACCCCCGAATGGCGGAAGCAGTACATCCAGTACGAGGTGAGCCCGGCGACCTTCCCGGGGCTGGCGGCGGAGCCGTGCCCGGCGCGGCGGAGCGGAGCGCAGCGCTGTCCTGCAGCTGCGGGCTGAGCCGCCGAGCCCGGGCTCCGCTCGGCGCTCGGAGGCAGGCTTCCGTCCCCGGGCCGCGGCTTTTGCGGTGCGCGCAGCTCGCATTGGTCTCCTGAAGTCTGAACCGCGGCACCGTTACTGTGTCCGTCTCGCTTTCTCCCCCTGGCTCCTGAATAAAGGCGGGTTGGAGTACAAACTGTCTCGGAGTCCTTTCTGAGCGGTACAAAATAAGCCCTCCCAGCCCTGCTTTTCGCTCCTAAGTTGTCAAACTCTTTGTTGCTCTGCCCTGCTGCCCGCGCGTATCGCAGCACTCTTTATTCGGGACCCGGCGGTGGTGTGGGTGCAGACAGAGGCGTGCAGCTCTCCTTTGTGCCGACGAACACCGCCTCGTTGCTCAGCCGAGGGGAAGGCACAGCACCGCTTTCAGTACTCGCATGCGGTTTTTCTTGCACCGTGCGTGGCTGCGGTCGTATCGTTGCCGTGTCTTTTCATTTTGACAGTTCAGATCTTCTTAATGAAGGCGGGAATACTGCACCTAACCCACACACTCGCGTGGGTCTTGTGGGCGAGCTGGGAGAAGATGAGCCCCGTTGCCAGGGATTACCACGACCAAGGCTGGGAGATGGGACAGGCATTGCCTCCAGCTCATTCTGTGTCACAGAGCTCTGTGCAGCCCTCATTTCCCATCCCGATGCGTGTGGTTATTTCCTTGGCACAGCACCTGCTGACCCCGGGTTGCAATGTGGCTGAGCCCAGGGAAGCTGAGCCCCCGCCGGTGAGCGGCCCTGCCCTGCTGTAGTGGCAGCAGGATGAGGGTGTGATCTGGTGACGTCAGGGAGAAGAATGAGACGTTGTGTTTTGAGGACTTAAAAACGACATTTTGCTGTTGGGTGGTCTTTCGTCATTTACAGCCTGCAAAGTTATTGTCAGTAACGTGGCCTTCCCCTCCAGCAGTTACCTGTGCTGTGATCGTTGAGGGCGGGTGCGTGGCCTGGGGAAGAGCTTGGGCAGGGAAAAGCCTGTTGGCTTTCATTAAATGGGGAAAAAGATGTACTTCAATACCTATAGCTTAGATTATCTTTCAGCAAGAGCGCAGCAGTGGCCATTGCTGTCTGTGTGCTTATTAAGAGCAAGCAATGGGCATGTGAAAAGGCAGACCGATGATGTATGCTGTTCTGTTTCATTCAGCTTTTGGCGAAGATGTTGGCCGTGTCCGAGTGAATGCAAGCACTGAGTTTTACAAACCCCTGATTGCCTCAGTCTGCCTCTAGAATGGGAAATCAGAAGGAAAAGATTGCACAAATGGTAGAACGGCTCGAGTTGGAAGGAATGGAACGGCACAAAGCGTGACGTTCCATGCTATGTTCAAACTGCTGGCAGGTCTGGGAGCCCAGCTTGCCATCACTCCTTGTGCTGTGAACTGCCCCTTTGCTTCCCATGGAGCAAAAATAAAATAGGAGAGCAAACAAAATCCTGTCTTTCCGTGTCAGCCAACAGCATTCTCTTTTTCAAGCAGACAAAACTGGACAAATTAAAGTGACTCACAGATGAATCTCAGAGGATGCTTTTTCCTACAAACATGCCTTTGTGACTGCAGTGAAGTTGTTGGCATGTTTGTCCACTAATTGCAATGTGGATTTGCTGTTGTGTGCATCTCTGAAGCTCCTGCAGAAGGAGGGGAGCGTGGCTCAGCCTGCTCTCATGTGCCAGTGTGATGGAGGCCTGGTTTTACACTTGGCAGATGGCAATTCTCTGCTGGTTTCTCTGTCCTGAATTTGTTTATCCGAGAGCAGAAAGCTCTTTATTGAACTCTTAAATTGGCACGCTGTCTTTTTTCTTTCATGTTTTCCCATCTATTTGACTTCCCTCCTCTCCAAAGGGGACCTTGGGTGCTGCCTGCTTCAGTCTTTGGACAGGGGCAGCACGTTGAGAAGTTCTAAAGCCTGTTTTCCCCCATGAAAAATGTACAGGTAGGTGCTGGTGATTGGCAGGATGAGAAAGGCGTTCTGCATTGGTGGCTTTTTCTTTTGACCACTTGATGCATGGCACAGGATCACGTGCTGCCAGCCAGTGAGTCATGGGAGGAAGGGGGCAGAGCAGCCATGGTCAGCCGGAATGTAGGAATGGGTTGTGTCACTGGGATGGGGATCATGCAGCAGTGGCTTAGCTGGGAAAACAATTCTGCAAGTGACCTTTGTTGAGACCTCTGGAACGAGAGCTTTGGGAGATGCCTGAGCTGCCTGTTTGCTGGCCGCCTGTGACACCTTGCGATAAACGGACGTGTCCTTTAGACCTTCTGTTTGCTTAGCAGTGCATTACAACAGCGCTGAGCTGCTCCTTGCTGAGCTTGTGGTTTTCCCTGTGAGGGCATCAGGGTGGTGGTTGTTCAGGCTGTGCTGACCCAGGGCAGGAAGGGGCAGAGCGTGGAGTGTGGGACTGTGGGATGTGGGGCTGTGGGATGTGTTGGGTGATGGGCAGCAGGCCTCGAGGACCCCAGTGACTCGTGTGCATTGGATATCTGTAGGTTCACAAGGCAGCAGATGAGCTCTAATTCTCACAGCAGGTGTGTGTGCAAAGCCTGCTCGTGTTCGTGCCCCTTTACTTCTAGTTCCCAAACTGGTTCAGGTTACTCCATCAGTCTCCAAACCCATCTCAGGTTGTTTGATGCTGTGTTACCCTTGAGATCCCTCCTTGGGAGAAGGCAATCACTCGTGTTTCCTAATCTGGTCCGTCACCCTGTCTTCAGCTTTTAGAATACGTGTGTGTTCCTGTACTACTGTGTAACAGTGATAGATCCCCGAGGCTTCTTTATCTCTGTTTGCCTTGACAAGCTCCTTTCTATGTCACGCCACAGGTTTTCTAACAAACCTCGAGCATCCTACCGACCTGGAAACCTTTTTCTGAAAGAATATGTTTTAAAATACGGTTGGAATAACAATAGCAGATTAGTAATATAACAAGCTTTAGATGAAGGGGTCAATAAATGAGAACATGGTTTCTTCTGCTAGCAGAAATATGTGTAATAGCATTACCAACACGTCCCGTAGCTTTGTTTGTCAGTCTGGAGGGATAAAAGGACTTTAATTGCTTTTGTTTTCAAACAAGCATATCAAAACGTAATTTTTATTTGATTCTGAGTGCATTCTTTGTTCTGCCCCTCCAGGCTTTGAAAGAGATGCTGTATGCAGCCGTGGACCAGGCCCCTTCTATAGAAGGTAAGCACGTGGTCACTGAGAATTGTGTTTTTCTTGGCATTGGATGCTGGATGTGCAGTAGTGTTATTTTTCTGTCCTCAGTCCTCCTAAATTGGTCAAGTCAATACACTGATGGGCGAACGCTCGGCCTCCCGCAGCCTGCGTGCTATTTGGGATTGTTGGAACTCTTTGTCCTCTGTCATCAGCACAGTAAATGGCTTTGTATAGCTTGGGACTTCAGCAGCTGGATTCCTCTCGCTTATAAGGACATTCACTGGTGGAAGTACTACTTCATCACTGGAGAATAGCCTCTTGTTTTCCCATGGCAGCCCTGGGAGATAGCTGTGCTGGAGAGTCACCGGTTGGTGAGCAGGGATGTGAGGGTCTCATCCTTTTGTCCTGGATGCTCCCTGAGTGCTGTGCCACCTCTTGGATGCTGATATGAGTATATTTTCTTGTTTTCATATGTTTATTGCCACTGCATTCTCTAGGTAGGTTGTTTTAGCACAGCATCTGCTTTTAAGCTCGCTGCATTTTGAGTAGTCTTATGTGTTGTGTGCAAAAGTTCTCAATAGAACCCTATATCTTTCTCCCTCCTTTAGTTTGAGGAACTGAATATTTTTGCCTTGATCGTTCTTTGGTCCCTTTCTGTGGATTTCAAACTCTGTGCTTCTAGCAGTTTGATTGCAGAGCAGTGTTAGTGTCACTGATCTCTCTGAGTGCAGCTCTTAGATTCTTCCTTGTGTGTGTGCAGAGCAGAACTGCTGCTTCTAGTGCAGTCTGTTGGCTGGTGTCAGTAATGCCAGCCATCATTAATGCTAGTTCATTAACAACTCACACCCTCTTCTCCAAACTGTGGGTCCTAGAAGTGCATTTCTATAGGTGAGTGGCCACACTCCTGGCATCACCTAAAATTGATGGGCTGCTTTTGGGTTTTGGGGAATGGAATCAAGCTTGGAAGCAAGATGCTGGCAAAAGAGGCAAGTCCTGATTTTTAGAGATGAAAAACTGCTTTAAAACCCCCACAGGCCTGGAGGATCTTTCTCCCAGACAACAGTTTTCTCTCCCAAGAAGCAGTTTTCTGTCTTAGAGGAACCACAGTGTTTTGTATAGGCTGCACAGATGATCTTTATTAACTTGTCTTTAGAGATAATTGGCCGGTTTTGTTGAGAAAATGTGTTTCCTTTGTCTTACCACCAGTGTGTGACTTAAGGTTTGTCTTAAAATGGATGGGGCTGCAGATCCTTTGCATTTTAGTTCCTCAGTGTTGTTTTGGGAAGGTGTAAGGAAGGCACTATGAGAAGCTGGACGGAAAGCTCCTGAGTGGTATTCTGCATTTTGGCTTCTTTTTTTTCCTATGCTCACTGTGATATAATGATGTTCTGTATGTGCTGTAATGTTTACGTGTAAACATACTTAGGACAGGAAGGGAAAGTGAAGAATAAAATGTTATAATATAATATTAATGTTGTTCTTTTGAATGTTAAAAGAATGTAAGCTTCTGTTTCTGCCTCCTTTGATGCTCATCAAAAAGGGAAGTAATGACTTAATGTTGTGCTAGCTACAAAAAGCATCTTCTTGTTATTTGGAGAGCAAATCTCTCCCTCTGTGTTGCAGAGAACAAAGCGATGCAAACTTTTTGGAACTGCTCAGATTTGTCACTGTTTTGCCTAAACTGCCTCTAAGAAGAGAGCAGCTGTGCTAATTCCTGCACTGTTTGTTGGTTCAGTGCTATGTGAGCGTGTGCTGGTTTCTTTTTTAATTGAAGTTTGTTTCCAGTGTGTTATTTCACTCCTGTTTTGTTTTTGGTTTTTTTTTTTTTTTTTTCAGTTTCCTCTGCTGTGAATCTGTTTTGCTCATTCCCAGCTCTCTAAAATGCCTGTGTGGCTTTGAACTTAGCACAGGAACACCAGGAGGGTGCTGTAAGCCCCATCTTCCCAGGGTGAGGCTGGTGTAAATCTCATTTTAGGCTGGTTTAACTAAAAGCCATGTGATGTAGGTGATGCCAGGCGCTGTAGCCGTGTTCAGCTGGGCTTTGATTTGCCTTACATGTAGACTGGAGCTAATCTTCAGCTAGTAGTTGGGCTGTGAAATAAAGGGAGGTCTGTCTCCGTTGGCTGTCTCTGGGCTCGTGTTAAGGAATCTCCTGCTTATGGTTGGCACGTGGGTAAACAAAGCTGGCTTCAAAATGACTCATAAGCTGTGCAAATGGTGCTGCTGCTGCTATTTTAGGGAGAAAAGTTTGCTGAGAGGATGATCTTGCATGTAAGTTGTGGGGTCACCTACCAGCACGTTTACCTGCTCTACTGGTGATCATAGAATCCTTAGGGCTGGAAGGGTCCTCCGAGGGCCATCCAGTGCAACTCCCCTGCAGTGAGCACTGCACTGACCAGATGTGCTGGCATCTCCCTGAGCTCCTCAGGGTTCACCTCTTTGCAGCCATAGCGGAGATGGAAGTCTGGCTGTGAATTATTCATCCTGATTATGCGCTCCAATGGACAGGGTCTACTCTGAATATTATTGCCTAGAATATTTGTCTTTCAGATATTGAAATTTAACCTCCCTTTAAGACTTGTGTAAACAGATCTTGTTGTTGTCACATTAAATGGCTCAAAAGCGTTCTGCAGTATCCTCCTATTCTGATGGCTTATTCCACTTAACCCCCATCTGCATTCCAGTGGTAGGCTGGAACAAGGATTACACCGAGTGGGGAGTAGGAATGCTTCAAGATTGAACTCAAAACCAAAATTAATAGGTGACTTTCATTACAGCTTGATTGACAGGGGAAAAGCTTAGCAGCAGTGCTGGTGCTTGTGCTGTGCAAATTCACCTCTTTGCTTGCTGCAGATGAGAACAGAGGTGTGAGATTGGAAGGTTTTCAGCATGCCCTGCTTGGTGATACAAATTTACTTCAAAGGAGGCTGGCAGTGCCAGAGCGCAGAGCACTCAGGCTGTGGTGCAGGAGCACATGCAGATCTGCCTTGGCTGAACTGGTGCGCTCAGGTTCTTGCCCCCAGGTACTTGTTTCCACAGCTGGGAAACAATGAAACTAATGAAAGGGCTTTGCACAGCTTGGGAGGCAGCAGGAAGGCTGGGTTGGGCACTGCGCACCAGCTCCAAGGAAAGGGCTGCGCCTGCAGGCAGGTTTCTTTTGCAAGCTGCTTATCAGGCTGGCTGCACAAGGGCTGTAGATCCCTCCTTAATGGCGTGGGGTGACAGCAACATCAGAAATGCTTTTTTTCCCTGCCTTCCTGCTCTTGCTTTCTGATAATATAAAAAGGCCAGTGTGTCAATTTAACTGGTAGGTTGTAGATTTCATATTGGTGGTTAAAATGTGAGGGCTGGGAAATAGAAAAGGAGTTCACAAAGCTGGAAGATGGACAGCCAGCCAGCTGTGCTCGCAGTGCAGCAGAACATCAAACAGTGCTTTGGGTGTAGCCTAGAGAAACAGCACACGTGTGTGTATAGGAGGTCAGAATTTATTGTTGGGCTTTGGAAAAGGCTGCAGCAGGAGGAGTAACAGCAAGATTTACAGTGTGTGTAGGAGGCAGCCTCGGGGTTTGTAGCCACTGCATTCAAAATAGGCGATTAGGCTTTGGGATGAGGCTGTGGCTATTTGGTGAATAATGCCATGTGAATTAAACTCGATGAGTTTCTGCCTCTTTAAAAATGCATGCTGTGAGCAGGCTCTCCCTGGAAGGAAATCTCATTCTTCTGCATCACAATCACTTGTAAGATGCTTCAGAACGATGGTCAGGGCCTGCCGGGAGCTTCAGCATCTCTGTGATGCCACGTAGGAGAGCAGGGGCTGCCAGCACAGCTCCTCTGCTTTGTTACCTGGGCTGAAGAATGCCGGGAGGTTCGTAGCTGTAAGGCAGCAGTGAGCCACAGCTGTGTACGTTCAGCCAAAAGCTGCAGAGAACACTGAGAATGCACCAATCTGCTGGCATGCATGGTGGGTGCTGTGTGCGGGAGCGTGAGGAGCAGCACAGCCCATCCTGCAGCTCCAGCCCCGGGCTGTGCGCTGCCCTTGCTGCAGAGGAGAGAGCCTTGTTTATCTCCTAGGAGATGGAAAAGCAATTTCTACTTCCTGATGAGAAGCTGACAGGCTATTTGACTTAACAAGAGAGGCAGCCGGTGTGATTGGGAAGAGGAAAATTGCATGCCATAACATAGCGATAGAAATGCAATTTATTTTGCATGTGCTATATAGCTTCAGGCATGCATTTTGGAGGGGTGAGAATTCTACACGCGCTGAAATGCCAGTTCTAAATAGCAACAAGAGGTGAATTTGGTTTCCAGACTGTGTCTGTAATCTTGGTCTTATTGCTCCCGCTGTTGATTAGCGTGCTTCTATAAACACTGCCAATGTGATTAGCGTGCCTTTATAAACATTCCCAAGGTGTATGTGGGGTGAGGGAACCTGGAGCTCTCTGGCAAGCCGAGTGAATGAGCTGTGACCTCAGGACCTGCCTTTTCCCATGGCTGCAGGCATGCCCTGATGTGTGGCCAGGATGGCTGTCCTGGTGCCACCACTGCCCATCTGTGTCCCCATGCAGAGCCCAGGTGTGCTTCTGAATGGCTGCTTTCTGTGAGCACAGCTGTAAGCAGTGACTCACCAGCAAGGCAGCTGAGTGGGGTAATAATGAGCAGGATTGGCTGATACACCTATAAAGCAAATTCTGTAAGTAGCTGAAAGGGATGGGGCCAGTACTGCTGTGTTTTGGTGTGACTTTGTCTTCCATCATCAGTGATAGCAGTGAAAAGGCAAGGAAGTTACCAATCTGAGAGCCCCATATGGCATTCTGCCTTTCTTGGAGCCTTTCTGCATGCCGGATGTTCCTTGAACTCCATGGCAATCCAAGACAAAGGTTTTATTTCCCCCCACCCAGTCACAGGGTAATGCATTTCTCTGTTAGCAGCTGGGTCAGGGCTTGGTTCTGCACTGACCTTGATGAGCACAGGTGCAGGGAAATGTTTCTTGGAGGCTATGTGTCCTTTTAAAGCCTTTAAGAGGCTGT